TAATCTACAAAAAGGCCGGGATTCGAGAAAGAAAGAAAACATTTGTTACCTCAACTGACAGCAATGTGGAATGCACAGACAAGGAGAGGAAATTGGAGTCTAGGTCTCCAGACTGTGTGCTGGAAAGTCAGAGCCTTTATAATAATGTATTGCAAATCTGTGGGTTTTAATAGTTACTTTCACTGCATCCTTTCAATAAATCCTCCCCATAACACTCCAAGGTAGGTATTATTTTCATTTGACAGATAAGGAAAATGAAGCACAGAGCCTGAGTGACCAGCTCAAGATTCCTTGGCAATTAAACAATGGAGACAAGCTTAGTCAAGTTGCTTGGCCTCCCTAAGCCTCAATCCCCCCATTTGTAAAACATGGATAAAAATAGCATCTATGTTTTTCAACAGGGATGGAATGCAAATCCATGTGTGAGGCACTTAACACCATGCCTGACCCAGAGTGAGCCTGGTACCCAGCCTTAGCTAGAACTACTGCAATGGTCAGAGTCCAGGTCTTTCAACTCCTGGTCTTATGCCTTTTCTGCTACATTGCACGGTGTCTTGAATGGTCAAAATAGGGACCCCAGTGCTGCTGGGATTCATAACCATGGCCCTAAACCCTAAAAACATAGCCCAGATTTTTTTTTTAACATAATTGGGTTTGTCAACACCTATTAAGATCTTGAGCTGCATCGTAAAGACAGATTATTCTAAATGAGGGAAGTTACGGTTCCTGTGACTTATGCACCACTCACACGGTCCTGGGGCCATTGTGCAGATCGCTGAGCTCTACATTCAAATAGGAGCAGTGCCATGTCGGATGATATCCAAAGGAAAGTGGTGAGGGGTCCAGGAACCACATCAGAGGAGACTGGTTGAAGGAACTGGGGTATCTGGCCTGGAGAAAACAAGACTCACGGACCATATTCATTCATTCATTCATTCATTCATTCACATGTTCATTCGTTCTACATTTACTGAGTACTTGCTCCATGTGACATGTTGCTGGTACACCCAGCAGCCAAACAGACAGCATTTCTGGTCTTGTGAACCCAAATCTAGAGAGGATTCACATGGAGTAATAGAGGGTGTCATGTGAAGAATTAGCCTTATTTGGGGTGAACCAGGACCACGGCCAGGAGAGGAATACATTTTGGCAGAACTCTTTAATTGAGCACCAGCAAGGGGGCAGGGATGGCTGGCTCAAATGTGTGAACTCCTTACTGCTAGGTGTATTGTAAGTCTAGAAGCCTACTGGGAGGTTTTCAGAGGGGATTCAGGAAGGGGCCAGGGTGGGCCAGAGTGTAGCAACTTTAGTTCCCTTCAAGCCTAGGTACCATGGATATCAACATTGCCCAGGCTGCTCTGGGAAGGCCCTCAGGAGTTGCCACTTATCCTGTGGGGGAGAAAAACAAGGACCTAAAGCTCCTGGGTCTTTGGCTTCCTTTCTTGAGCCTCCACGTTCCTGACGCATCACTGATACCATGGCCCTTTCTCTCCCTGTCACAGAGAATTCTTCTGAACAGTGTCTCTCAGCAGAACATAAGGGGATTGGCAGCAAAATTCTTTAGTACAGGATGCAGATTTTTCAAAAGCCCATTATTAAAAAAAAATTCATTTCCATCGTAGCTAATTCTGAAGCAAAATATAAGCAACAAAGTTAAGGGAACAAAAATCACCCAAAGATAATCATGGCTAAGACTATTTCCTTCCATTTTTTCCTGTTTAGGATTTTTTTTTAAGTACATATGATCACACCAGATCCTGCTTTTTCATTTAGGATTACTTGAAACAAATCTGTCTTTAAAATTATTATAAGCTCTACCATACGATCCAGCAATTGCACTACTGGGTATTTACCCCAAAGATACAAATGTAGGGACCTGAAGGGGTATGTGCACCCCGATGTTTATAGCAGCAATGTCCACAATAGCCAAACTGTGGAAAGAGCCGAGATGTCCATCGACAGAAGAATGGATAAAGAAGATATGGTATATATATACAATGGAATATTATGCAGCTACCAAAAGGAATGAGATCTTGCCATTTGCAACGACATGGATGGAACTGGAGGGTGTTATACTGAGCGAAATAAGTCAATCACAGAAAGACATATATCATATGACCTCACTGATATGAGGAATTCTTAATCTC